GTGACAGTGACAGCCTCTCATACTGCCCGTGTGAGACAGAGAAAGGCATTAGCAGATCCTGAGAGGAGACCACACTGCGCTCGGATGCAGTTTTCTAGATCATGTAGGCTCCACAGGACAACTGGGTCTGTAGTTGACAAACTTTAACAGCATGCTCAGTGTATTCACTCTGACTTTACCTAAAGTCAAAAAAATCTATTCCTTCTTCTGTCAGATAATTCCACCTGAAAGTCAGCTGTGGTTTGATTTTATTAAATCGGAAGCCGTTCATATTCCCTATCAAATCTATTTAGATTCAGTGTTTGTAAGAAAAGTTTAACATAAATTAAACAGATTACATTGAAATCTATGCATTTTGTTGTTTTTTTCAGCCATCAATGACAAAACCTGCTGAATGTGACTTCTGTCATTTAATTCTTTGGAAATAACAGTGACTGAGAAGCATGTTACTGTTATAGAGAAGCATGTTGAGAGATAAAAGCTCTCTCATAAGAGATACGTTGGCCTCAGAGCTCAGCAAATCCAGCTATTTGGGACCAGATCCTAAACACAACCAGCTATCTGAACCCAACTCTGTCTGAGATCTGGATCACATGACGCATGTCTTTTGGTCTGTGAAGCTCATGTTTATCAATATCAGACACCAAAACAATATTTTGATTTTTAACAATTTAGTTTCAGAAAATAAAATGTTTAACACATTTTTTCATTCAACAAAATATAGATAATTGTTCACTCACTGTTCACACCGGCTGTGTAGTGAACACAGCATCTCAGCTGAGCACAAGCAGCAACTATAGTTCTCCATCAGTATCTTCACTCGGCTGTTGGTTCAGACGTGTTTCAGCCCAATACGTAGTCACAGTAGTTAGCAAGCGTTCACACTGAAATCAGGCCTGTGTTCAAACAATGCTAGGGGCTGCAATGGGGAACAGGGGGGTGGGGGTGGGGGGATCTTGCTGCAGGTATCAGTGAGACGTGAAATACAATCCAGTAAGTCCAGCCTGCATGAACAGATCCATGAGTTTGAAGGCTTGTCAAAACACCACAGTGGTTTATAATATAATCAGACAGGATTTTACATCAGAACATTATCTTATCTTTCGTCTCAACATTCATGAGGTAAACAGCAGAAACACAGCAGGAGCTTTTCAAAGTAAAGGGATGTGTGTCTGTTTAGCCACCAGGTTTCAATGCGTTGCACTGCGGCAAAAGTCGAGCATTCTTCAACTGTTTTTTGTTGGAGCCCTCTGCACTGTTACACAGGCATGAGTGTGAAGAACACAACTGAAACCTCTCATGTGTAAACAACATGTTTGAGTAACAATAAATTACTTAACCTCTATAAAAGTCCAGTGTGCATCAGAAATAATCCAACATTCACACTCACTTTGTGCAGCCGCGCACCAGTTTAAAGTAGGCAGGGTCACACAACTGTCACACAACACCTTCTGTGTGTTTAACACCATGATCACCTTGGAGGAGAGACTTTTTACTTCAGTAAACATAAATATTATATTGCAAATATACCAAAAGAGCCAAAAGTAAAGTTACTAAGAATAATGTGTATTATATCACTGAATTATAATCACTGATGGATTCATGTATGTCTTACTTTAACACTGCAGCAGATAAAGGAGCTAAGTCTAACTATTTGTATTGCTGAGCAGCTCAGTCCATAATAATACATCATGTATTTGTTGGCTATTTTGTGATTAGTGTCTAAAACTGTAAAGTAACTACAGATTTCAGATAAATGTTGTTCAGTAAGAAGAACAAGACTTCAGAGCGAGGTGTCGTGGAGTAGAAGTATAACGTAACACAAAATGAAAATACTAAAGGAACCGCACTTATATAGAGATTTTCTGCTCTTATTGACCACTCAAAGTGCTTCACAATGGAAACCACATTCACATATATTCACACAGATATTTTCCAAACATATAGCACTTTTCTACACAGACACACACACCAATGACATGTCAGCGGAAATTTGCGTTCAGTATTTTGCCCAAGGACACTTCATCATGGACTGGAAAAGCAGAGAATCAAACCACAAACCTTCTGGTTAGTGGACGACCCGCTCTACCTGACACAGCTGACCCTAAATACTGAATACGACAGTAAAGTAGCTGTAAAAGTACTAATTGCAGTACTTGAGTAAATGTGCTGGTGGTGGTTTTACATTGGTTTCTGAGTGCTGCCAAACAGCCACTGACCTAGCCTAAATACTGTCCCTGCACGCTACGTGACCGGGAGTCCCTGTTTTTAGAGGACAGTCCCTGTTTGTGGTGGCCTGTCCCCAGAAATGTCCCCATTTTTAACCTGAATTAAAAACATAGCGGAGAAAGTTTTGGCCAACAGAGGGGGCTGTCAGCTCGCTGCAGCAGCTTCACGTCACTCTTCTTCCTACTACTAAAAACTTGCTTGGCCAGTTTTAAAGAAAACTGCTGTGGAAACAAATGTCTTTTCAAATCAGGTCAGAATCAGGGGTGGGGCTACAGGACTGAGAAATCATACTAACATGTGACAGACAGCTGATTTACAGGTCAAAGGGATGTAGGTGAATGTGATCTACAAATATATATATTATATATATTAAGCATATCTGCTTAATTTCTATAGCGACAGGAAAGTCAGAGAGAGAGGGGATGACATGCAGCACAGGGGCTGGACTCAAACCCGAGCCGCTGTGGTGAGGACTGAACACATGGTCCACCTGGTCCGCACTCTACCAGGTGAGCTATCTGGGCGTCCATATTGCATCATCTTTAATTCAACATATTTAACATGCTGTTTGTAATAAATGGAGAATATCACCCGAAAAAAAATTCTGTTAGAAGATGTTTTTTTTTTTGCTTTAATTCTTGTAGGAAAGAGAAGAGGAAGGAGAGAGATGGAGGGAGAGGAGGGAAGATAAAGAAATAATTACAGAAACAATTTATTCTTCTACACAATAAAATACAAAAATGCACTATTTATTATTAAATACTGGACAGGAGGGAGAGGAGAGAGAGAAGGAAAATGAAGGGAGAAAAAGAGTGAAGAATCAAGATGAACGGTGAAGAGAGGGAAGAAAAGAAGAGGAGAACGACTTGAGGAGGAGAAAAAGTTCAGTCTTTAACTTTAGCAAAGAGTGACCCAGTTTTATCAGTCGGCCTTCACCACAGACACCATGGTTAAAATACATGAAACCACACTGTTCCCTTTTTACTTCATTAATAAAAAATATTATTTTGTAATATTTTAATGATATATTGACGGTGAACTGAAATGTTACTGAACGTGGGGATGGACAGACGATGCTGCTGCTCAACAAGGTGTGACAAAGAGACTCATACAACCAGCTTCATTTATCATACAATGAATTTACATTTTGTTTCATCTCTCGTTTTATTACTATGATTGCACATTTAATGTGTTGTGATCATTATATTATTTGCTGTATTTTAACATATGCAACTGTAAATATCAGAATAACGACGATCCTCGACGTGCAAAAAATAGAAAATAGTTAGGAGCCTAGACAAGCTTGTTTTAAAGCAGTTCTATCTGCATTTAAAAGAAATATCCCTTTACTTAATGCAACAAACTGAGACAGAGCACATCATCCAGATATCTCATGATATTGATATTAAAGAGATTTTTCATATATAAAAAATGATGGTAAAAAAAAGAGCATCTGGAGCAAATGTTGTAGAGAAACCAACAATAAATCAAATTAAAGAGACAGATCGCAATCAGTATAATTCTTTTTCCGTGTCAGGAATTTTATATATCTACTCAGACTCAGCACTAACACATACTGTATAAAGGACAATGATTCTCCGACACGCATTTAACATACAAACACGGCCAGTACTGCCACATGAAAATTAAATGCGGGTCGAGACAACACAGACTTTAAGGAGATTCTGCATGGTGTCAGTGTGGAGCAGAAACCTCTGACTCAGAGGCAACGAGACTGACACTGACATCCAAACTAGGGGCCCCTGAATCCAGTGGGCCCCCGGCCTGTTCAGCAATCCATCCAGGAGAGGAGGAGGAACAAAGTTGTGGTAGCAGCGGCAGTACAGACCAGGACACATAGATGTGTTGAGAAGCTGCAGAAGGGCTGATAGATGCAGAAACAGAGCAGAGCTGTCTGATTGATGCTCTCTCTCCTCTCCCTCACATTCTCATATTTAACCAGCAGCCCTCACATTACACTGCGAGTCTCCTCTGCTCATTCACTCACTCTCTGCCACATATGGACACACACAGAAGATTAAAGTGCATCTGAGTGTGGCGCTGAATTACACTGTTTTATGCATACAGCCTGGAGATGTAAGGAGTGCGTGTTGAGCTGATCTGTAGCCGTGGCTCAGGGAAACATGGTGAAAACAGGAAGAAGATATGGGAGAATATTTACAACATGACTTGTCAACGTATCCTCTGTGTTGTATTGACTTTGACAACTAACTGCACGAACAAATCTGGTTTAATTTACCTAAAATTCACTCGAACACCATGTGTTTCCATGAAGTGGCTGGCAGGCAGGTTCCAACAAACTTTAATTAAAATCAGAAAGGGCTCTCTCTCAGTTGAATTATCAAAGTACTAATGTGAATTAATGCTTCATGCACATTTTGAAGAAGTTTCCCTCCACTCAGAGGCAGTGATCCTGCAGTCTGTGGAACTGAACTACATTCAAACTTTTCAGCCTTTTAGACCCACAGGCTGCAGCTTCCAGTAAAGCTCCGCAGCCCGTACTGTACTCAGAGACATTGCCCTTATATCTGTGGATGTAAATACATGCTACTTTTAAAACCCAGACTATTTAGGCGACCACAGAACCCGCCTCACAATATGTGAGAGAAAACACGTTCAGAGGAGGGTTCAAAGACCAGATAAAACCGGGGATATGCAGCACTCTGCGGGTTCAGCGCAAACCTCTGCTCCGGTCTTTACATGCTTAAAAAGCATAAATGCACCAAGAAGATGGAGAAGATTCAACCTACCGGCTCCGACGGTCAGCGGCGGTGAGGCTGCTCAGTGTTGAATGTTCAGAGAGGAAGGTGTGAGAGAGACGCGCTGGTCAGTTTGAATGAGCACCCCGTGGTGCACCGGTGGAGCGTCGTGGAGATCCCTCTCTTTCTCTCTCTCTCTCTCTCTCTCTCTCTCGGTTCAGTCCTGCCCACAGTGTTTCCCGGTGAGGGAAGGATGAGGCGGAGCAGACGAGGAGAGAGAGAGGGAGGGAGGGAGGACCAAGAGCTGCTGCGCGGTTTCACAAGAGCTCTGTCCCAGTCATACAGCGATAGAAATCACGGCGGCAGACGATAAGGTCCCCACTAGGACCAGGACCGGGTCCAGTATTTTAAATAGGCTACTGAGGTCATGAGTCCATTATTCGCCCAACTCAACACCCCCAATAAAGATTTAACTTATTTTTAACCGAGCTCATTTATTAATTAAGCCTACACTGATCAAATATGTTTCTGTCAAATAGGTTGTTTCCACCGTGTCTGTTTATTTGTGAGAAGGATTGATCAAAACGCACTGAACCGATTTGGACCGAACTTGGTGGAAGAATGGGGGAGGGGTCAGGAGAGAACCCATTACATTTTGGAGCAGATCCGGATCATTTACTATGAATTTGATTTTTTTTCTCTGAAGTTTGTTGTTTGGCGCTCTCTGAGTGCCCCTCTAGTTCTGTCTTTCAACATAATGATTTAAAGCCTTTCTTAGACTGCCAAGAATATGAAATAAAATAAAATAAAATAATGTATTTATTTTTGAGTGAAATATTCTGATCTTTTACCAAAGTAAAAGTAACAACACCCGAAGGTAAGAATTAATCTTCCTTTACCTGAATTCAAATCATGACTGAAGTAAAAGTACAGTAGTATTAGTAGATAAATTACTTCAAGTATCAAAGTTAAAGTATCATGTGGCCACAGAATGAGCCAACTCATTATATATAATTTTTGTTTAATCTCTGGTATCTCATAATATTTGATGAACTGATTATGGTTTTGAATATGAAAAGCTGTTCTTCGAAGTAAATACAACTACAGCTTTAAAATAAATGTTGTGGTACTATAAAGTAGCAAAAATGGAAATATTAAATTAATAATACTGAACACTAAAGTATAAGAACCTTAAAATTGTACAGTATGTGTTTCAACCACCCACATTCACAGAATTAACAGGAAGACTGAACCTTCCCTAACTACCAGTGGTCATGACTTTGTCCCTCAGTCAATGTGTACATGTAAAGATCCCATGTGTGTGTAAATGATAATCACCAGTCCTTAATAACCAAATCAATATAGTCACACAAACCTTCACAGCTTTGATATTATTGGTTAAAAATGACTTAATTAACTGATGATCAACATTGTTGCTGTGGATTAATCGACTACTCGTTTCATTTCTAGTCTTACACTGTAACAGTGATTTACATCTAAGGATCTACAGTAAGGTATGAATTATTCAAAATTATTTAGTCTTAATTTGCTAATTTTCTGATGACAGTGAGTGATAAGATATATTTATCATATAAACAGTATATTCACTCGTTCCAAATACAAGTTGACTTTTTCATAAATTTTTGAGAGTCGTGTCGTTTTATTGATGTCAGAGCGTGAAACTGACTTTTCTGGCTTATTTCCCCAAATCCCCGGTGAAGAACGAGGGGAGCTGGAACTGTTTTACTCCGGTGGAAAAAATATATGCTTGATTTGAGAAAATGTAAAGGTAACCATGGATGCATACTGAATTTCCTTCTGGACACAGACACAAAACTCAAAACCCATCCTGCTGCACCACCACCACTGACCCAGCCTTCATCCTGCACCTTCCTCCATGGGATTATGCAGGTTAACTGGAAAATGCTGCTGTTGGATGAAACTGGCTCCTTGGTTATAGATAAAGAGAAGGTGTCTGAATGCTTTAGATCAGAATCCTGTGGATCTAGATCAGATCCACGCTGACACACCTCTCCACTAGTATCATACAAAATACTGTAGGATACAAAAATGAATCGTGGTACAGGTTAGATCTTCTGAAAGTAGAGCAGTTCTGCTGAGTTGCAGTCAGTTCAGAGGTTCCACCTTTGTGGCCCCTGAGCCAGAACACGTCCCTGTGTGTACTTGTTACTTTGCAGAGATTCAAGTGTTTTCCTTCCTATTTTTAATCATCTACCCTCCTCTGAGACCCATTTATCCTGCTGATCAGAATATCTGTGATTGATATCTATCATCATTGATCAGGACATCACATGCTCTTTGATGTCTAAACTGAAAAGATAAATGCATAGTGAATGTTGATGAGCTCAGACCTTTTAAATCCTTTGTTTATGCTGAAATGAAAAGACAAAAAAACAGTGCTCCCCATCATTTATTGGCCGTGTAGGAGATAATCAGTCAAATTACAGCATTACAGCATATCACCACCTCTGCTCCTGTTTATCCGCAGGTAATTGGACTGGGATTTGGCTGGTAATGAGCTAAACAAATAGACCACAATCTGGAGCTCAGACACATGCAGCCAGAACCACCATGCTCAGTGGAGGTATCCAGACTCACAGGCTGGGCTGAGGCTGCCATCTGCTGGACAGATTGGCTCAATTTGAACACCAATCAGTTGGTTCCGCAGGGAAAACTGATAATGTTGCAGAATTTTGTCTCTATAAAACCTAAATAATCTGCCTCATGAGGTCATTGCTTTTATTATCACAACAATAATCATGATTTCTTGGAAATATATGGCAGAATAGTGGATGATTTCTGAATAATATCAGTTGAGTAACCTCCCTTGTCTGTCAGTTTCGGCACACTGTTGCTATTCTCTAGAAACCAAACATGGTTTAGTGTATATAGAGTGGCCCTGAGAGCTCAACACACTGCACCTTAAGAAAACAAATGCAAACAGACAAAACACAAACAACCTCAGAAAACACCTTCATCAGTTTGACAACACATATATTATTATACATCTATGCAAGTGCGTCCAAGCCAGGTTCATCACTTTTTAGTGTCCCATGGAAACACTTCAGTTGTGTTGTGAGTATTTTCAGATCATAAGTTATCAAATTGATGGAGATATTTTCTGAGTTTGTTTGTGTTTTGTCTGTTTGAATGTCTTTTCTTAAGCTGCAGTGCGTTGAGCTCTCAGGGCCATGTATGTTGGACAAACAAAAGGACCTTCAAAGATTTGTACATCTGAACCAAACTCCACTCAGAGCATCGATAACATGGACATGATGCACAGGTATTATCATTACATTTAGATCACAGAGCTAAGCAATTATCTTTGCCAGCCTTATGGTTGTTTAACAAGTCTTACTAGTCCTGAGGATATTAGCAGAATCCCTAAAAACTCTTCTAACCATCTGAATGAAAAAATATTCTGTCTGCTGTACAATGACAAGGATTTTTAACCTGTTTCCTCAGTTCACGCTCACTTTCGTAATCCAAAGAAACCTAATAAACAACATAGGAAATATTCAATGTGAACAACAAGAACCAATCTTTAGAATTATACCACTTATATTTGTCTAGATAAATGTTACACTCTATCAACCCATTGATATTTTTGTGTTGTTCAAAGATAAAGGACATATGTCATTTCCACTCGAAACTTGAGAAACGGATTAAAATTCTTTTTTTTATAATGCAACAGAAAGAAAACTTTTTTCTATCCAGATGGTTAAAATAAAACTATAACATAAAGTGCTGTTGAAGATGTTCTGGGAAGTTAATTGTTAGAGAGTGGATCATCTTTGTGACTGAATGTAACGTCAATAAATTTTTTGCACTTTATATTACTTTATAATGTTTTGTCTTGCATGTGGTTAACATTTGTGTTACATGTCACTGATGTCCAGGGTAGAGCCAGGAAGTCGGATTCTTATTGTCATGACTGTCACTGTTATCTAAGTAATAGACTATACTGATGGCAGTGGAGCTGCTCAGTGAAATAAAAGTTGATTTCACTTGTTTGCATCAGTACTTTTACTTATTGAAAGTATTATAGTTTACCTCATTATTTTAACAATGAATCAAATATGTGTATGTAAATGTTGTCACTCTGCTGATCCCCTGAGTTCAGTGGAGTATTATGGCATCTTTCAGCTCATTGTTTTGGCTTTAAAACACACTGATCTTACCAGCTCTGTTTCCACAAGCAAACAGCAGACAGACTCAGTCAGAGAGCTGCTGGTGAACAGAGTGGAGCATTTAGCAGCTAAAGAGCTAGATATTTCCCTCAGGAGCCGGTGGAGACCAAACACAGAGATAAAGAGAGGGAACACTGGACTTAGTGGCCAGAAATAACTGATGGGTGGTTCCATATGCAAATGCAATATATGTAAATATAATAAATTTCCATTTATGAAATATATATACAGTACATATGCAATAAAAACATATGAAACCTGACAAAAGACAACACTATAATATCCATATATTTCCCAGTCCTAAGCCGACACTACTGGTTTTAATTTTAAGTATTTTGGTGCTGTGAAATACTGTATCGTCAAAAATTCTAAAAATATCGTGATATAAATTTTAATAGATATTTCTCATCACAACTTTAGTTTCAATGAAACAACTTTTGATCATATAATAATTGTTATCTCTGCTCTCTCCCTGATGCCGGTGTTAGGTCAATTGCTGCAACTCAGTCCATCCACAGTACAGACCACAGTCCACATACAGTCCACATATATACAGTAACATTTGCTGCACCCTTGCTGCTCCCTTGCATCAACAGCTACAGGACAGGACAGGAGGAGGCAGCACCTTGGAAACATCTTGACTAATAAAGGACACTTTTATGGCAATGGACTTTTCAAAACCTTGGACTTCTATCTGCCTATGGACTGTACTAGTAAGCCAGGGTATACCTGGGTTATACAACTCACATTGTATAACCCAAACCACCTGTTCAATGTCAGTAATCTTAACCATCAAGATGATCTGTAATTATCATACTGAGTACTCATGTATTTTTATAAAAAAAAAAAAAAAACTTGTTTAATGTTCACAATCTTTTTGGTCATTATAGTATTACATCCAACTTTTGCCTTGTATGTATTTTTC